TACTACACTTTGTCCCTCCCCTCAGTACAGCAGGGCTAGCCATGGTGCCACTGCTCTGGCTGCTGCTGCTGTCACCCAATGGACCATGCCCATCATCAATCTCCAAAATGGAATATTTGTTTGACAGGGGGCAGTTGCAGGGGGCTCCTGCACTGCCTGCCCTATCTAGTGGTCACCCATCTACCTTCCTGTACCTTGGGTGTGACCATATTTCTATAACTTCTTTCAATGGCACTTTTCGCTATTTGTGTGCTCCTTAGTGTCTCTTGCTGCCGCTGAAGCTGATCCGTTCCCTCGGTGAGCAGCTGAAGCTGTGTACACTTCCTGCAGATGTCGTTATCAGGGATGCTGTCAGCGTCCATGATTTACTACATCTCATAGGCGGAACACAAAACCCCAACCACTGACATGACTAACCTTCTATTCACTGTTAGATTATAAGCTAAATTTTAATTAACTACTTAAAAATTACAGTTATTACTTTCTAACAAATAGCTCCCCCCACCCCAAACTCACTATCTGAACTCCCTAACCAGAAGATGAACTAACTGTAGTAACCCTTTAAGAAGTCTGAGACACAGTTATCCTGTACTGCAGTGAGATTCCTTCACCTGAAGCACCAAGGGAATGAATGAATTAACATAAACTTGCAACAACAACAAGTTGCTGGAAAAGCTTAACAGGCCTGGCAGCAATCTGTGAAGAGAAATCAGAGTTAATGTTTTGGGTCTGGTGACCCTTTCCCAGAGCTGATGGAAGCTAGGAAATTGTTGGTTTATATATAGAAGATAGGGTGGGGCAAGGGGGTAAGGAGTAAACAATAGGTGGGGATAGAGCCCAAAGGGAGAGAAAAGCAGTTGGACAGACAAAGGAATAGATAACGATCTGGCTAGGAGGGTGAATAGCTGTTAATGAAGACTCTTAATGGCTAACAGTAGATGGTGCGTAATGACAGACTGTGTGATAGCAAGGCCTGTTGTATGGGGTAGGGAGCTAGGACATGGAGAAGTTCTGGCCCAAAAATTATTGAACTCGATATTGAGTCCAGAGGGCTGCAGGGTCCCCAAGCAGAAAATGAGGCGGTGTTCTTCCAGCTTGCGCAGAGCTTCGCTGGAGCACTACAGCAAGCCTGAGACAGAGATGTTAGCCAGGGAACAGGGTGGTGTGTTAAAGTGGCAGGCAACTGGAAGCTCAGGATCATTTCTGCGGGCAGAATGTAGATGTTCTGCGAAGCAGTCACCCAATCTACGCTTCGTTTCCGCCAATGTAGAAGAGACCATGCTGTGAGCAGTGAATGCAGTAGACTAGATTGTGTGAAATGCTGCTACACCTGGAAGTTATGTTTGGGCCCTGAGGACGGAGGAGGTAAATAGACAGGTGTTACACCTATGGCAGTTGCAGGGGAAGGTGCCTTGGGGTTGTGGGGGGTGGTATTGTGAGTGAAGGAAGAGTGGACCAGGGTATCCTGGAGGGAACGGTCTCTGCGGTAGGTGGACAAGGGAGGGGATGGGAGGGGAGTATGTGTCCGACGGTAGCATCCCATTGGAGGTGGCAAAAATGGCAGCTGATGAACTTCAGGATGTGGATGCTGGTGGGATGGTAGGTAAGGACAAGGGGAACCCTATTGCTGTTGCGGGAGAGAAGAAGGCAGAAATGCGGGAGATGGGTTGGGCCCTGTTGACAACGGTGCTGGGCAATCCTTGGTTGAGGAAGAAGGTGGACATTTTGGAGGCTCCCTTGTTGAAGTTGGTCTCATTGGAATATATGTGATGGAGCCAGGGAACTAGGAGAATAGAATGGAGTATTTACAGGAAGCAGGATGTGACGATGTATAGTCCAAGTAGCTGTGGGAGATGGTGAGTTTATAGTGGATATTAGTGGCCAGTCTATCCCCAGAAATGGAAACAGAGATGTCAAGGAAGGAGAGGAGCCAGAGATAGATCAGGTGAAAGTGATGGCAGGTTGGAAATTGGAAGTGAAATTGATGAATTTTTTCCAGTTTCAGACAAGAGAGGGAAGCAACACCGATGATATCATCGATATATCGGAGAAAGAGTTGAGGGAAGGGTCCAGAATAGGACTGGAACAAGAAATATTCCACATACCCCACAAAGACAAACCAGCACTGACCAATCAGAAATTGTTCTTCCTTTTTCCCTGCGATGTCAGCAGGATGCCTCCCTGAGATGCATGGCTGCTGGCTCCTCCTGAAAGGCACTGGCCTAAACTGAAACTAGGCTCAAGAATACCGTGCTCAATTGTAAATCTTCTTTGGTATTGGCCCCTTCCTCCGGTTCCTGCTGCTGGCTCCTCCTGAAAGGAACGTGCCTGAACCAAAACTGAAATTCGATTTATAATATAATTCATTTTTCAGTTTGGACTTTTGAATTTAAGCTAGTGGCATATAGGGTTTCTGTGTGGCTGAAGGGGTTTATGTTTAACTTATATCTGTAGCTGTGGTGATTTCTTTGAAAACACAGTGAGCGAGAAGTGGACAGTAGTGGGTTTTTGTTTTGGGAGAAATTTGAGTGAACAAATAATTGAACACTGGATTCCAATTTAGAAGGTCAGGGATTGATTTCTTTTGATTAGGAGAAACACCCATAGCTTGGGAAAAGTAAGTTGTTTTTTGTTTTAGTTTGAGCAGTGACTCAGCTGAAGCTAGATGTGTAGCGCACTTGCTCCTGAGAAAAGGACAGGATAGTTAGAATTGTTAAGAAATAGAATTTTTTTTGAAGCTGAGAAAATTTAAGCTTAGTTGTATGCAGACCCCAGGAAAAGGCTAACAGATTCTTGAGACTGGGACAATTAAATTAAGCTTTATAGGGGCGATAGAGAAGAGAATTCTCTCTAGTGTGAATACTATAAAGGGGTGCTTTTTGGATTGCTAGAATATTTTTATTGTGTATTTCAAAATCTTTAAATATGTATTTTCTACGAATAGTATAGTTTATTCTGTTTTATGTTGAGGCAGATTTCTGTACATGATAGAGTTGCCCAGTAATAATACCATTTGGAATCACAAGACTATACTTATACACAGACTAACTATAGACACTACATCCAGCTCTGACTATGAACATATTGCATCTCGTATGTACTGACTCCTGGCCAAAATCCAGAGCAAGCTGTGAACCTGCACAGAGAGCTTTAGGACTTGCTCACTTGAAGCATGACATGTTAATTGACAAATTAAGATGCAACTAGATGACAGTAATGTGAGCTATAACAACTTCAACTTAACTGTATTAAGCAAATCTCACCACTCTATTTGGAGTATCGGTAGCATAAGTAAAAGCTGTCTAATTCAAAGCTCTCCAGCTTGTCTAACTTAGTGGAATAGGGATGAGCTAAAACAGGTTTAAGTGATCTTTATGTTGGGAGAGAATGTTGAACTTGGACTAAGTGCATTCCAATGATCATTAAACACTAACCGAAAAAATAGATAGTAAGTGACATAGAGTCACAGAGTCATGGAAACAGACTCTTTGGTCCAACTTGTCCATGCCGACCAGACGTCCTAAATTAATCTAGTTACACTAGCCAGCATTTGGACCATATCTCTCTCAACCCTCCCTATTCATATACCCATCCAGATGCCTAATAAATGTCATTGTACCAGCCTCCACCACTTCGTCTGGCAGCTCGTTCCGTATGTGCACCACTCTCTGTGTGAAAATATTGCCCCTTAGGTACCTTTTAAATCTTTCCCCTCTCACCTAAAACCTACGTCCTCTAGTTTTGGAGCCCGCTACCCTGGGGAAAATACCTCGACTATTCACCCTATCTATGATTTTATAAACTTCTATAAGATCACCCCTCAGCCCATGACACTCGAGGGAAAATACCCCCAGCCTATTCAGTCTCTGCCTATGGTTCAAGCCCTTCAACCCTGACAACATCCTTGTAAATCTTTTCTGAACTCTATCAAGTTTCACAACATCCTTCCCATAGCAGGGAGACTAGAATTGAATACAGTATTCCAAAAGTGGCCTAACGAATGATTGTACAGTTGCAACATGACCTCCCAACGCCTAGATTTAATGCACTGACCACAAAAGGCAAGCATACCAAATGCCTTCTTCACCATGCTGTTTACCTATGACTCCACTCTCAGGGAACTATGATCCTGCACTCCAAAACTTCAGAACACTCGCCGGGACCTTACCATTGAGTGTATAAGTCCTCCCCTGGTTTGCCTTTCCAAAATGCAGCACCTCACATTTATGTAAACTAAACTCCATCTACCACTCCTCAGCCCATTGGCCCATCTGTTCAAGGTTCGAATTTATTCTGAGGTGACATTCTTGGCTGTCCACTATAGCATCTGCAAACTTACTCACCATACCTCCTATGTTCACATCCAAATCATTTATATAAACAATGAAACCAGTGGAGCCAGCAGTGATCCTTGTGGCACAATGTTGATCACAGGCCTCCAGTCTGAAAAGCAACCTTTCGCCACCACCCTGTGTCTCCTACCTCAGAGCTAGTTTTGTATCCAAATGGCTAGTTCTCCCTCCGTGTGATCTAACCTTGCTAAGCAGTCTACTATGTGGAAACCTTATTAAATGCCTTACAGAAGTTCACATAGATCACATCCACCACTCTGCCTTCTTCAATTCTCTTCATTACTTCTTCAAAAAACTCAATTAAGTTAGTGAGACACACATATTTTATAAGTCAACCCTGTTTCAGGAAAAATACCTAAAGCTTTCAAGGTCAGATCGTACACGATCTGCGGTTTGGTTTTATCATAACTGTGGATTCCGTTTACTCTTTTAAGTTAAATTATTTCCAGCCAGCCTACTTGGAGAACCTTTGTCTTTTCATGGCATATTGTAATTTAGTGGATAGATTAAGGCCACTTGCCCCGATACCGATGTTGGATTTAGGTGAAGTATAACAGAGAAACTCGGACATCAGAAGGAGAGGCAAGAAAGTCTGTTTGAATGGTCGCTGCTGGTTACTATTATTGCACTTTTTCCATCTCTATGTAGGAGTTAGTGTGAAGGTGACAGAGCCAAGCTCCACATTCGTTTTCTGTATCAGCACTGCATATGAGGGCATCTACCTAGACTCCTATTACCTGGACATTCAGACCAAGCAGCCACGCAAAATAATTCGGCACAACATACCTGCCTTCATCCCTCTGGAGCAGACAGCTCGCAAGTACCTGCAGAATGACCTGCGACAATTCATGGATGTGCTGCGCGATGCTCTGAATGCCTATGCCAGTAGAAGATATCAGGTGGAGCAGTTACAGGTATAATTGGTACACAGTGATTCAGCTGCAGGCGACAGATAGAATTAAACACCCTCTACTATTTTAAACTGAAAGTAAACATGAAGTAATGCCTTCTGTACTCTCTACACTCACCCCTCAAAAACTTCCAGAACAGGCACAGCAGTGGGTGAGATACAGAGTAAAGCTCTCTCTGCTCTTTTAAACTGAAAGTAAACAGAAGGTAACGGTGGCACGGTGGCTCAGTGGTTAGCACTGCTGCCTCACAGCGCCAGGGACCCAAGTTCAATTCCACCCTCGGGTGACTGTCTGTGTGGAGCTTGCGCATTCTCCCCGTGTCTGCGTGCGTTTCCTCCGGGTACTCCAGTTTCCTCCGGGTACTCCAGTTTCCTCCGGGTACTCCAGTTTCCTCCCACAGTCCAAAGATGTGCAGGTTAGGTGGATTGGCAATGCTAAATTGCCCGTAGTGTTCAGGGATGTGTATCTTAGGTGGGTTATAAGGGGATAGGTCTGGGTGGGATGCTCCAAGGGTCGGTGTGGACTTATTGGGCCAAAGGGCCTGTTTCCACACTGTAGAGATTCTATATCTGTAAAGCTTTCTCAACACTGTTGCCATCAACCATACCCAGGACAGGGACAGCACTGTACTCTTTTAAACAGAAAGTAACGCTCCCTCTATACTGCCCCCATCAAACATCCCCAGGACGGTTCAGCCCAGGGCTAGTTTCTAATAAAGTGCCATATATGTTACTGGACGTGTAATCCGGGGGCATAAATTAAAATCCAACTCCAGCAGCTGAGGATTCAAATTGGGTAAATTAAGTAGATTGGCGATGTAAAGTGGTCTTCACAATAATGATCGCATGATAAATGAATTATTGTGAAAACCTGTCTTATTCATTAAAATCTGCACCCCAGATTTATCCAGACTAACCTACATGTGATTCCAGCAAGCCACTTGGTTGTCAAAAAGACAGCTTCCCACCAACTTCTCTAGGGCATTTAGAGGTGGACAGTAAGTTCTGGTCTTGCCAGCGATGTCCATATCCTGTGAATGAAAGTTTCCTCTGTGCTCTTTCAGCAAACATTCATAGAGTAGGTACAAAAGAGTTCAAAGCTTTCCATGTGAGGAGGCAGTGGCACATTGGTAATTATAGAATTATATAGTACAGAGAAGGGGAAGTGACAATCTAGTCGTATTATCACTGTACTGCCAATCCAGAGACCCAGGGAATGTTCTGGCAACCCAGGTTCAGATCCCGCCATGGCAAGTAGTGGAATGACTGAGTATGTGTGCGCCCACTGTCGCTTGTCGTAAATGCCCATTTGCATCACTAAATTCCTTAGCAAAGGAAATCTGCCACCTTTACCTGGTCTGGTCTACATATGATTCCAGGTTCTGCTATCTTGACTGCCATCTGGACAATTAGGAATGAGCAAAACAAAAATGGACCCACATACAACGACAAATATATAAAAAAAGAACACATGGCCATTACCACCGAGAAGGATAAAGGATGAGGGGAACTGATACATGCAAACACCACCTCCAAGCCACTTGCTATCCTGATTTGGAAAGATATCGCCATTCTGGAACTCTCTTTCTAATGGCATTGTAGGTATCCCTGCATCCCCATGGACTGTACTGGTTCAAAAAGATGGCTCACCACCATGTTTTCAAGGTTAATTCAGGATTGGCAACAAATGTTGGGCCAGACAAGGATACCTACATTATTTGAAAAAAATAAACAAAAAGTACAATGTAAAGCTTCTAATTAAGCACTCCGGACTGGTAGAACACAAATTAGGAACAGAATGAACCTACCGCTATACTGCAGACTGATAGGTTTATAATAAGCTAAACACTAACGATGATACTCTTTCCCAGATGCACTACCATACGTCCCTGACAGGCCAGATACAGAAGAATGCTGCGTATAACTTGCTGAAATTCCAGTATCCCATTCAGTGTGGGGACATGCATCATGACGTTCAGGTGAAACTGGTATATGAGGATCTTGCATGCTACCTTCCGACTGGAGTCATACTCACATGTACGGGTAAGAACAAACAGGAGTTGGATCCCAATATATGGTAATTATACACTTCAGAACAGGTATAGCATGGGGTTAGATACAAAGAGCCCTCTACACTGTCCTCATCGAACACTGCAAGGACAGGGACAGCATGGAGTTAGTTACAGAGTAAAGCTCCCTCTTCACTGTCCCCGTCAAATACCCTGGACAGGTATAGCATGGGGATAGATGCAGAGTAAACTGAAAGTAAAGCTTCATCTATGGTTTTAAAGTGAAGGTAAAGCTACCTCAACACTGTTTCCATGAAACACTCCCAGGATAGGTACCTCATGAGGTTAGACACAGAGTAAAACTCCCTCGACACTGTCTTGGAGTCAGTAGGACTGCAGATGCGGGAAGCCAGAGTCTTTAGATGTGAAGCTAGAAAAGCACAGCAGGTCAGACAGCATCCGAGGAACAGGAAAGTCAATGTTTCGGGCTGAAACCATCAGTCAGGACTGGGCTGATGAACGGTTTCGGCCCGAAACGTTGACTTTCCTGCTCCTTGGATGCTGTTTGACCTGCTATGCGTTTCCAGCTTCCTATCTCTTTACTGTCCCTATCAAACATTCCCTGGACAAACATGGCCCAAGTCAAAATCCCTCCCAAATGGAATTGTCAGTGCCTCTACACCAAATGAACTGCAGCATTTCAAGAAGGTGGCTCATGACTACTTTTTCAAGGGTAACTAGAGATGGACAATAAATACTACCCTAGCCCTAGGACACTGACATCCCATGAATTAATAGAAAATAATCAACAGCTGGAAGCATTGACATTAATCTCCTCATATTACATGTGTTAGTCTTAGTGAGTGGGGGAGGGGATTGAGTGAGGATGAAAGAGAGTGGTATCAGACAACACACCTGGTAAAATGTGAACAGTTTTTGTCCTTTTATCTAAGGAAAGATATACTGGCATGGCAGGCATTCCAAAGGTCCACTAGGCTGATGCCAGGTATGGAGGGGACTGTCAGGTGAGGAGAAGTTGAGTAGGTTGGGCCTGTATGTATTGGAATTTAGGAAAATGAGACATGACCCTATTGAAATATACAAAGTTCTTCAGGGACTCGACAGGGTAGATGTGGAAAAGTTGTTTCCCCTTGTGGGAAAGTCTGGCACCATATAACATAATCTCAAAGTAAGGGATCACCCAATTAACACAGAGCTGAAGAATTTCTTCTGTTAGAGGGTTGTGAATCTGTGGAACCACCCCAACGCCCACAAGCAAAGCTGTGTTAGGACACTATTTAAATGGGCCAGAACACACTGCAACACCCCGGAATTACGCAGGAAAGAGGAAGAGCACCTATACAAAATCCTCGCTATAAACTGATATCCCTGCAACTTTATCCCCAGATGCCTACTAAACAGACACAACAGGAAGGTACAGTACGCCCTAACACACTGGCCGTACTGTCATACATCAAGAACATATTGGAACTGACAACAAGACTCCTAAGACCACTAGGAATCATGGTGACCCACAAGCCCACAGCCACACTACGACAAACACTCACAAGGATTAAAGACCCCATTCCAACAACGCGCAGAACCAACGTGGTTTACAAAATACCTTGCAACGACTGCCAAAAACATTACATCGGAAAGACAGGAAGGAAACTAGCCATCAGAATACATGAACATCAACTAGCAGCAAAGTGGCACGACGAACTCTTCTTAATATCGGTACACTCAAGACAATGAAGGCCATCACTTTAACTGGGACAAGGTAACCGTAGTAACCCAAGCCAAAAATAGACACGCACAGGAATTCCTAGAGGCATCGTTCTCCACTCATGATGCAAGCAACAATTGGACTCCATATACAAACCCATAGAGATCAAAACTGGAAATGACTGTACTCCCCATAACGGACCAAACAGTATAAATTCCAAGCAGAGTAGAATAACATCGCTTCATCGGAGGCTCCACTGATGATGTCACCTAGCATTTTGACGAAACCTCTGAATGAGAACAAGCCAGCTCGGCGAGCAAGTCAACAACCTCATCCACAACCCAAGCTACAGATCTTTGCCAAAACTTTGATCAGATTGGTCTCTTTAGAGCAGAGAAGGCTGAGAGGGACCTGGTTGAAGTATATAAGATTGAGGGCTTGGACAAGGTGGATGTAAAGCAGCTGTCCCCTTAGTTGAAGGGTCAATAACAAGGGAACATAATTTTAAAGTGAAAGGTAGGACATTTAGAATGGATTGGAGGGAAAGAATTTTCATCCAGAGGTTGGTGGGAATCTGGAATGCACTGCCTGGGAGGGTAGTTGAGGTGAGAAACCTCACCTTTAAAAAGTACGTGGATGAGCACCTGTAAGTGTCATAACATTCATCGCTATGGGCAAAAGCTGGAGTGGCATTAGTGTCAATTTAGAGTAGCTTTTATTAGTGTAGACTGTATTCCCAAAGGATTTCTCCCAAACTGTACGATTCTATGAGACATTGTTGAGGAGGATTGAGTCTGAAGTTAGCTGCCTAAGAGTGTGGTGGCAGCAGGTTTAATTGAAACATTGAAAATGGAGTTGGACTGTTATTTGAAGAAACGATGTGTGCAGGGTTACAGGTAGAAGGCAAAAGAAAGACACTTAGTGAGGTGCTCATTTGGAGAGACGACACAGATACAATGCGTTAAATGGCCACCTTTTGCAATGTAACATGTCTGAGATTCTGACAATGAAAAGTGTGAGAGTTCACATTTGTCCTTCTCACTGCAACTGCCTTACTTTGTACCAGGAGCAGATTCAGAATCCATGAGGACAAAATTAGAAAGTCACCAGCAACTCTTCCAAAACATGGAACTTCATCGAGTATTTGACAGCTTGAGGATGCAGCAAGAAGCAGTTGTATCAAGCAGCAGTCTCCGTGCAGTACATGGTTCGGCCAGTCCTTCCAGTCACTGAGTGCCACGTTCTTCGACAACCACAGCACGAAGAGGATGCAAATAGGGTTTATCTTGATGTTTTGAACTATTCCTCAATTAAAGGGCTGACTGATGCTGTAATTTTTAACCATTTTCTATATCTTGTTCAAACTGGAGTAGGGGTCATTTTTTGTTAATGGGATGT